TACCTTAATGGCAGTTAAACTTCGAAGTTAACGTTTGACGAAAGCGGTTGGTGTTCTGCCTTAATGGCAGTAAGATTTATATGGTAAATCTTAATATTTGTGAATTGGCTAAGACCATCTCTAAAGGTTTGGCTAAAAGTTAAATATTTTAACTCGAAAAATTTATCTTTTAGTTCAAAAATAATTTTTCTGCTTCAACCGTTATAGTCTAAAATTTTAACCCGGAATTATTAAAGAATGAACTTAAGCTATTTTTTTGTTAAATTAAATTAAAAATAAATAAATATGTAGACTATCGTAAATTAATTTTATGAACATTTTAATCTAAAAAAATTTAAATTCCGATAAATATTGAAAAATTTAAATTCCGATTTCTGGGTTAAATTTTGGGGTGAATCTGGCCTTGATTTAGCATTTAGCCCAAAATTTCCCCTTAGGTTGGATTGAGTTTGGAGGGAAATTTTGGAGGGTAATTTGGCTTTTAGCTCACCATTGGAGTTGGTTTAAGGGATTGGTTTAGGCTATGATAGGGGTAATTATGGAAAAACAATTTTATTGCGGATTGGGCTTCACTTCGGCCCACGTTTTTAATGTTTGTAGGGCTATTTTATGAATAATTTTGTCTTAAATCTCTAGTCATTTTGGTTAAATAAAAGTTTAAGATGATTTTTTGTTAAGAAAAAGTTGACCCAAACTATTTTTATTAAAGCTCTCTAAAATTTTTAGTATCAAATTTACAAATTTTTGTTCTATAATCAGAATATTTCATAATATAAATCATTCTATAAAATTTATTTATGAAACAAATCAATTAAACTGAAGTCGTTTAGTGAATCAACTGTAATAAATAGATAAACGGTTTATATTATTTTCATCTATCTATTTTTATACAGTTTGATGAATAGACTTTCTACAAGTATGATGACAATTCTTAGCTGTATGACGGATATCCAACGACCAGCAAAAGTTCAGCACAAATGCCTCTCTGCACTGAAGAAAAATTGCATAGAAGATGCCTCTAAGACGTTGAGGTAGCTCTAACTTTATGACTTCATTTTTTAGTGAAGTACGATATTCATTGATAGAAAATTGAAAATGTAAAAAACATGATAAGAGGTATATACAGGGGGCTTCAATAAAAATCTTGTTGGGAATTTTAACCTGGACAAAAGAAAAAAAAGCATTCTGCACCATAAGAGATTACATATGATTACTATCTTCAATTAAAAGGTATATTATGACGGAAAAGGATCATTGCTAGATCTTTTTTTTGGGGATCATGTGATCGTAATCATTCATCGTTTATTGTGCGGTCAGTTTTCGTTAAGTACTATTTATATTTAATTTAAAATTATAAATTTAAAATCATTTATGATCATACGATATACGATGAACTATCATAAGATTCTTGAATTCCCTGAAAAAAAAAGATCTGACGATGATCATTTTCCTATTATGACTTCATTTATTGTGGTGTTGGTCATACGGCACCTAGATCCTCGCCGGATCCATTCCTTAGGGATCATAGGGATCCTGCAATCCTGTCCGTTTATTGTATATCGTACGGTCAGTTTTCGTTAGATACTATTTACTTTTGAATTTTAAAATTTAAAATTTAAATGATTTCTGACCGTACGATATACGATGAACAGACAGAATTGTGGGATCCCTAGGATTCCTAGGAAATGGATCCGGCGAGGATCCTGGTCCGGTCATACGAAGGGACTGCACAGAAGCATCTTTTAAACAGTGTGTGCATGTAACCGCCAAAATAAAAGTTTCATTGATAATGATAACCCCATTGGGAACATATAAAGGTAAAACGGCATAATCAGAAGCTATAACGATAATTACAACTCCTCGAAAGCCTATTCAGTATTATTGTGCCGATTGGGAAATTGTGCAATCATCATGACAGTAGATGTTTTCAAAATCTTTCTTCGTTGAGTTTAATAAGCAAATTTCCAATTTCTTTTTGGCCAGATGCTTCTTTTTTTCCTGAACAAGAAGTTTATTTCTTAAATTCCAATTCAATTGTCATTTGAATTTTTTATAAAGAAAAGAATAATCTTTATCTTTAAGAATGATTTTTTTTTCACGTACATTGACTGATTAAAGTGACAAAGTTTATTTCTTAAATTCCCATTCAATTGTCATTTGATTTTTTTTTATAAAGAAAAAGAAGAATCTCTATCTTTAAGAATGATTTTTGCTTTTTCTCATGTACATTGAATGATTAAAGTGATAAGTATCTGTAGTTTTGTTTTCTTTTTTATTATTGCCGTTTCAACTACTCATTGACATAGTTCTAAAATTTTCGTTTTGTAAGAAGTATATGTTAAATCGTAAATCTAAACCAAACTGTAAATACGGGGAATTTATGAACAGGGTCAAGTACAAGGCCTTCTTAGGCTATAGCATAGAGAGATTTTTGGTTCTTCAAGCTTAAAAATAAAGGAGTTTTTACAAAACACTCATGGTACTGTTTATTTTTAATGAAAAATCACATTTATACCTTTTCCTGTTACTATTTACTATACCTTTAAAAATGATTTTTCATTTAAAGGGAAGTTTTTTTGGACTTTTCGTTAGTTTTCCTTAAAAATAATAATCTTAGGCTTAGTATTGTTGTATTTAAAAATAAAAAAAAACTGTTTTTGTTGCACTGTGAGAATAAAGAGCTATAAAATAAAGTTGTTAAGTGTTTGGTAAACTTTTTTTTTGTAAAAGTGTTTTTAATAAATAAAAAAAAACAGTGTTTGAGTGTTTGGTAAACTTTTATATAAATTATTTTGAATATGTTAAATGACAAAACATGATATAGTATTTAATAATGTGGTAAAATAATTATCAAAGGCAATAATGTAGAGGCACATATTGTAATTTTGTAAAACATGTGGAGGTATACTTGTCATTTGAAAAGTTCATTAAATGAGCATTAATTAATAATTACTATGATTTGAAGAAAAAAAAAACATTTTTTTAGAAGCATGCTAGACCTTGCTTCAGCTTTTCTATGTTTTTCTACTTTCATTGATATTAAGCTTACTGAAAAATCTGGTATATTAAATGTGTTTGGTAAAACAAAACACATTAAATGTACCAGATTTTTCAATAAGCTTCTTTTTTTAAAGCACCACAATCTCAAACCAACCCTGAATCTTTTGGCAGTCTGCAAGGTAGGGTTTGTTTGGGATTATGGAGCTTTAAAAAAAAAGCAGCTTATTAAAAAAGTTGGAACATTAAGTACTGGTTTAGTACTGATATGCTTTTATTAAAAGTGGGTATAAAAAAAGCTGAGCTCAGAAAGTTGTTTTGTAAACACTTAAAAACAACCTATTTTTACAGTTTTTGGTGAAAAAAGTTGAAAACGTGAAACAACAAAAATGAGCTTATTCTCACAGCACAGCAGAAGCAATTTTTTTTTGGGAACTTTAACGAAAAGCACCCGATACTGTTCACTTTAACGAAAAACCACATTTTTATACTAAAAAGTCAATCTTGGTACTATTCACTTTACCCTTTTATTTTGTCCTTATCATTAAAACTCAAAGTTTTCAAGCCCTTTTCATTAGTTTTCCTTTTTTTTTTCAAGCACAACAATACCAAACCGGCCCTTTAAATGTGTTTGGTAAAATAAAAAAAATGTCTTTTTTTTTTCAAACAGCTGTCAATGAAAGTAGAAAAACATAGAAAATCAGATGCAATGTTTACCATGCTTTTAAAAAAATTTTATTTTTTATTTTTTGTCAAAGTATAGTAATGAATACTCATTTAATGAACTTTTTCAAATGGCAAAATATACCCCCACATGTTTTACAAAATTACAATCTTTGCCCATATATTATCATCTTTGACAATTATTATATCACATTAAAAATACTATATCGTTTATAGTTATTTAACATATTCAATGCAATTTATATAAAAATTTACCAAACACTCAGACTCTGCTTTTTTAACTAAAAGCACTTTTACCCAAAAAAAGTTTACCAAACGCTTAACAATTTTATTCTATAATTGTTTATTCTTACAACTCAACATAAACATGTTTTTTAAAAAGCATAACAATACCAAACTAACCCATAGTTGATTATCCCTAGATCTTGTGGTTGAGGGATACTCAAGTTGGTTTGAGAGGCTTTACTTCTTCACAAGCTTGCCATATCCGGCGATCTGCTAACATGGCGGCACATAGAATGGTCACATGGACCTTAATTTTAGTTCGAGGAGCCTCAAAATTTAATCTCAAGTCCCAACTGTATGTCTTCATGATATTTTTTTTATAAAATTTTTATCGTTGCACTCAAAAGATATACAACAGTAAAATTTGACAACAAACTCTCTCCAATCAAGCCCTTCAGTTTTTTACGCGGCGCTAATTCAATTGAATGCAAAGCCCTCTATAGTTGTCAAAGTTATTTAATATTTTTTTTAATAAATAGGATGCAACATATAGTAAATGTTATTGTGTGTACCAAGTATTTGATTGGTTGTACATAAACTTTCCATTTTCTAGTTTTAGTAAAATACTTGGGAAATGCTAAAAAGACTTTTTCTAAAGTGTGACTCTCCATGTATTCTTCGCCACCTCATATTTTTGACACAACATGAGCTGTCGAAGAGTCCATATAGAGTCACTTTGAAAAAGTCTTCTGTCTTGGCCGTTGTAAGAAAGTCTGCTATCATGCAGTGTCCCTCATTTAATTACAAGTAATGCGAGGGAGACTAAATTTGTAGACCAAAGTTTTGTAAACTAAAGGATATAGAAGTTGATGATTTGATTATTACTTAAACGTTGATAAACATACTCATTTTTATTAATTGACATGACATCATTTAGTTTGTAAATTTAATTTACAAATTTAGTCCCCTAACATTATTTTTTAATTACTAACCCAATGTCACATGTACATGTCTGCGTGAACCACACTTGTGTCATTAGCTAGTATAAAGCAAGTAAAGTTCCAAAGACAAAAGAGACTGCTGAACAGTAGTATTTCATCTCTTTAGATACCAGTGCATATCTCAGATAGAGAGAGAGACAGAGATGGGGGTGCCCTCGTTTTTCAAATGGCTGGTGAACAAGTATCCCAAAGTGGTGGTCAAAGCTATCGAAGGTCAGAGAGAGGAGTCTCCAAACCCAAACCCTACTAACTTGGAGTTCGATAACTTTTATCTTGACATGAATGGGATCATCCATCCTTGCTTCCACCCAGAAGCAGCTGACGATGATGATGATGGAGTACAACCTTATTCATTCCTCTCTCTCTCTCTCTCTCTCTCTCTCTCTCTCTCTCTCTCTCTCTCTCTATATATATATATATATATATACACATGTATATTCTTCACCAGCAATAAGATAAACATTCTATAATATACTATTTATTTTGATTATTGTCTAGATAACAATTATTGATATTTTCTTTATCTTTATGGTCCAAATTTTTTTTTATCCATATATGTGGTTACATAATATAATTTTTACATTTTTTGTTCAGCTTTTGCCACCAGCAAATTTTGAAGAGGTGTTCATCAATATTTTTGAATATATTGATATACTTTTCAATATTGTTAGGCCACGGAAGCTACTATACTTGGCCATAGGTGAGAAAGTTTGAATTTTGTTTTTTTTGATCTCGTAGTGTTTAATAAACTCATGAGACTTTTATACGCTGTTTGCTTTTCCTAATCAACTGCAGTGCCATTGAGATTTATGTTCTTATATATGTGTTGCACTTAATGATATAAACTAGAAATATTGCATGTAATGGTATAAAGTTTAATTTTTGATGTAGATGGAGTTGCTCCAAGGGCTAAAATGAATCAACAGCGAATGAGGCGCTTTAAGTCAGCGAAGGACGCTGAGTTCGCTGTGGGTACTTTTACTATGAGATGCTTCTGAATCACAGTGTTTATTTTGCTTTACGTAACTTTGTTTGTACAAGTTTATAAATGTCCCAAATGTTGGTATCAAATGTGTAGGAAGTTGAAGAAGAGAAGCTGAGAAGACAGTTTGAATTGGAAAGCAAACAAGTCCTACCAAAGCAGCAGTCCGAAGTATCAGATTCTAATATAATAACCCCCGGAACTGAATTTATGCATAAATTGTCAAAGGCTCTTCGAAACTATATCAGTTTACGTTTGAGCAATGATCTAGGCTGGAGGGACATCGAGGTCTGGTCCATCATAACATTTATATATCAAATTACTAATACATGAACAACCATTATTTACACGAACAATCATTAGTGTGTAATTCATGATATCTGTATGTATTGTTTTCCTCTTTCTTCTTTGTTTTAATTTCATGGTTACTACATTAGATAATTCTGTCTGATGCCAATGCTCCTGGGGAAGGTGAGCACAAAATAATGTCATTCATACGCTCACAGCGCAATCTTCCTTCATATGATCCAAACACGCGCCATTGCTTATATGGACTGGTATGATGAATAGTATGCTTCGCACAACTGTTTCTTGTTTTTGTATTGTTTTAGAATTTGTTGGAAATTCGGAAGAAAAAGAATTATACAGTTGCACTTATATTTTTTGTTTAAATACTTTTTTCCTAACCTACTTCTCATTTTTTTGAATTTTTACATTCTGATGCTTCATTGGCATCATGGCATGCAGGATGCTGATCTTGTCATGTTGGCTTTGGCGACGCATGAGCTTCACTTTTCCATATTGAGAGAGGTTTAATTACAAAGCCTTAAAATTTCTCAAATTCAAAAATTAGTCACCCTGTTGATTTCAGTTTGACTAGGGTTTTCAAAGCATCAATGAAGCAATGTGACAATATCTTGAGCTTCTGACTCTATCTAATGAACTTGAATTTTTCTTTTCATATTCTGGATATAGGGATGTTCTACATAATGAACAGCGTCATACAAACTGTGAATCTATTCGAGAGAAAGGTCCATTTTCAGGAAAGTCAGATAACAAAAAAAGATCCATGCTAAAAAAGCCCTATCAGGTATCCCAAGTGGTGCTGTTATCCTTCCCTGAAACTTGATTGCTGTTTTGGTTCACCTTTTCTTTTCTTCTAATTGCAGTTTCTTCATGTTTGGATTTTGAGGGAATACTTGGAGCTTGATTTGAAAATTGACGACCCACCCGAGAACTTTAAGTTTGATCTTGAGCGTATAATTGATGACTTCATCTTCATGTACTTTTTTGCGGGAAATGATTTTCTGCCCCACATGCCAACTTTGGAAATTCATGAGGTTCTTTGTAAACTTCATTGTTTTATGGCCCTTGTTTTGTAGATGCGAATACAAACATAAGTATGTAAACCGGAACTAATTTTACACGCCAATAATTGTGTCCAGGGTGCAATTGACTTGCTGATGACTGTCTATAAGAAAGAACTAAAAAATCTTGGTGGTTATATGGTTGATATGCTCCGGGTATAACATTGAGTAGCCTCATATCACTTTCATTTTCTTCACAACAAAAAAAAAAATATCAATGTCGACAAGATCATCTTCATGCCACTTCTTATATGCACAAATCCAGGTCAATGACAAGAAATCAGGGTACATCAAGCTATCCAGAGTTGAGAAATTCATCCTTCTTGTTGGTTCTTATGAAGACAAAATTTTCAAGAAAAGATCAGAACTACGTGACCGTAAACTGAGACGTCTTTGTTATTATAATGATTCTGTGAGTGCTTGGCAGACACATTTGTGTGTAGTGTTCATCTAATAAATGTTCTGCTTATGAATTACATGCTGCATTAATTGCATATGCTTTGCCAGCTAGAGGACGAAGTTGATACTAGAAGTACAATTACTGGTTCGAGCAATAATCAGGTATTCCTCAGTGGAGAAGAATTGGAAGTTTGGTCAGATGGAACGTCTGACATTATGCATTCTCAAGTACGTTTGTTCCCTTAAGGTTTCCTATGATGTAATTTTCGGGGTATAGTGTTTTATATGCATACACTATATGCTTAATTATACACATGTGGTAAAGTATTTTGGTTCTATTTTTTTTGGCATGCTTAAAAGTTGATGGTCTCGTTTATACATGTATATATATGCGGTGTTTGTTCAGGTTGTAGGAAATACAAAGGAGTTGAAGAAAAAATTGAAAGATAACATCAGAAGGAAATCTGATCTGTTCAAGAATGGTGATTTGGGGACTGACAAGGTATGACGTTCCAATATTCTTTCTCATAATTTCTTGTGAACCATTTACATCAAACCATACTTCAAAAATTGAGTTTTACATGCTTGATCAACACTCCTACAGGTCCGATTCGCTGTGGGAGGCTATAAGGAAAGATATTACAAATACAAATTTTCTGCAGAAGGTCCAGAGGATATTGAAAGGAAAAGGAAGGAAGTAGTATGTCTAATTGCCATGGTTCTTTTTTCCCCTTTCAACAAACTGCTGCTTCCATTCCAAGGAGTTTTTGTAAAAGCTACAAAAACTTTTGATGTGATTTAGCGTTATTATACCGGGTTTACTTCCATTGAAGTTTATTTTGTCCCTGTGTATTTCAGAGACCTTTCTTCTTTTTTAAAGCTTCCCCTTACTTGAAAGTTCCAATTGCTGATATAATTATAGGTTAAATGCTACACTGAAGGACTGCTCTGGGTTTTATTGTACTATTTTTCGGAGCCCCCATCATGGACATGGTAAGACATTTACGTAATATGAACTTCACATAGCTACTAGATACTGATATGAAAACTAATGATACTAAATTATTTCTCTGGAACATCCTTTCAGGTTTTATCCTTTCCATTACGGGCCATTTGCTTCAGACCTCAAGGGCCTCGGTCAGGTGAAAGCGAAGTTTCATAAAGGTTTCCCTTTTAAGCCTATTGATACTCTCATGGCTGTGTTACCTCCAAGAAGGTAATTCTGTTATTTTCCTTATTGTTCCCTTACTTTGCAAGTTTGGTCTTCCTAAGTTCTTTAGAACATAAGAGTCTTATGATAAGACAAGACAAATGTTCTCCTTTTTGTAGCGCTCATGCACTTCCTAAAGATTATCAGAAACTAATGACTGAAGAGAGTTCCGGCATTATTGACTTTTATCCTACTGGTAAGTCCCCCCCCTCTCTCTCCCCTAAGGAATTAGTGAAGCAGTTCTCACCTTAATTTACCTTCCTACTTGCTTTGCAGTTGGTATGATTGTTAAATAAAAATTGCTTTGGTGAGATATTAGTTGTGAAAGATTGTCTTCTTTGATTCCAATGAAAGTTCTATGACAAGAAATTTTGTTTGGATGGGAAAATTTAAGATTATTAAGGGCTTGTTTGGTATCTTATTTGAAATTTTTTTCATTTCTCAAACATTCTTAAGAACATTTTTTGAAAAAACAATTTTCTTTAAGACTCAAAAACTTGTTTGGTATACGATTTAAAATAATTTTAAATCTTACAGCTCAAACTGAACAAAGAGATCCAAAAAGAGGAAGTCGAGGAGAAAGAGGAGAGAAGGAAAAAAAGTAAAAAATGATTGGTTGAAAAAGAATGAAGAGAGAGAATCAAGGGAGAGAAGAGGAAAAAAGTAAGAAATTATTGGTTGAAAAAGAATGAAGAGAGAGAATTGGAGGAGATAGAGAGGAATATGAGTGAGAGAAAGAACCGAGAAAATGAAGAGAGCGGATTAGATGAGAGACAAAAAAAGGTTAAAAAAAGAGAAGGGAGAGAGAAAGAAGAAAAGAGAGAGAGAGAGAGAGATTTGGAGTGAGAGGGGAGGAGGAGAGGAAAAGAAATGAGTGAATTTAAGTTTAAAAATTCTAAAAACTCATTTTTTGTGTTTTTAGATAATATATTATATTTTTTAGTTAGTCTTAAGTTCAGTTTTTTTAAATAGTTCTACCAAATAAGTTTTTAAGGCCTAAAACTTGAAAATTATTTTTTAGTTTAAAAAGTTGGATTCAAGTAGAATACCAAACAAGCCCTAAGAATTTTAAAATAACAGAAATTAAAATAAAGAAATTTTATTTTCTAGAATTTATAAATTTTCTTTTTTGGTTAACCAAAGGAGGAATGAAATTTGAATACATGTTTGTTATTTTTAAACTCTCACTTACTGAAATTTATAAATGACACCTATTTACATGAAATTTAAACATGAGAATTGAAGGTCCCAAATTCCAAGTTTTTTCTCACGCGGAAAGTCTAAATTTCTATGTTTATGAATCCAAACAAATGAATTGATTGTATCAATTTATAAATTCTGACTTTTGGCAAAATTCTAAGTTTATTGTCCTTATCTAAACATATTCTATATATACTAAAACCCAATCCGATGGTTACTGTTCTAGGGCAGTGTGCAGACCAAAAATGCCCCTCAAGTTAGTTCTTCAGCAGTTACTTTTTGTCTTTTTTGTACAGTAAAATCCCAAATTTGCCCTTTCTATTCCCATGTTCCTCCATCTGTGGAGTCTTTCTTTTAGTCCTTTTTTAATTCTTTAAACCTAGCTGGTGGGCAGACAAAAAATATTAAAAAAATGTGATTAAAACCGGGCAACGTGGTTTTGTGACACAACAAACAATAAAAATTTATACTTTCCTAATTTTTTTTAACCCATGTACTGCTGATGGGAAGAGCAAAAAAAATATTTTAAAAAATGTTGATTAAGACTGGGCCCACATGGTTTGTGGCACAAGAAACAATAAAAATTTATACCTTCTAATTTTTTGGGAATCCCATGTATAGCCGGTGGGAAGACCAAAAAAAATATTAAAAAATGTGATACACAGTGAACCGGGGCCTCTCTTAGCACGTGTTGGTCATCGTGAGGTTTGCTTTTCTTGCTCTATACACCGCCTGCTTTTTGTTCTGTTGTTCCGTTTCCCATACCCATTTCTGTTCTTCTATTGTTCTTCTGTTGTTTCCGTTCCGTCCAACCTCTTCTTTGCTTTTTCTTTCCGTTCGCTTCTTTCTCTCCATTCTCACCTTCTGCTTTTTTCTCTTCCACGCCAGTGTTGTTCCATTGAGTTTTGCGTTTTTTCCAATGTATCTGATTTAATTTTTTTCGGTGGTTTTTCGATTTGCAGATGGATTTTTTTCTTTAAATGTTCCATTGGGTGAAAAATGGCGGTTTGGGAAGCTGAGAGTGGGTTGTCGGGATGACATGTAGTAGTGGCTGGGTTCAAGTTGGTCAGAGAAGATGGAGGTGGGTGGGTTCTTCGGTTTAATCGCACATCCAGTATTATACCTCAAATTATTTTACACAGAAAAAGATCATCGTCGGATTTTTTCTGAGGATCCGGAGGATTTCATGGTCGTGACCGTTGATTGTATGTGTTCAGTTTTCATTATGTATTATTTATACTTAATTTTAACAATTTCATTTGAATGATTAATATTAGGTGTTTTTTTTATAGGAAACTAGATATTAATCCTTGAAAAAGATTATCTTTAGACTAAAAACCTTAACCAAGATAAAAAACTAATTATAGTCCTTTGACTTATGTCCAAGTCAGCATTTATATTTAATGTCAGAGTTAATTCCTTTTATGTAATTTTTTTCTTCCTATATTATCCTTGAGTGAATTATAATGTCTTATATTTATTTTATTTATAACTTTTCAGTTTTATTGCTAACATAAATGGTTCTCCTTAAAAATGAAACTTTTTGTCCAACCAAAAAAAATTATCTTCAACCGTGTTAGAAGAGAGGGCTAGGGCCACCATCCACATCTAAATTTCTTCTTCTTATGCATCTAATAGTGCATGATTTACTTTTATCATTTTTTTTCTAGTGTTGATGATTTATTTTTACCTTCTCATACATCGAATCTACCGATTTTTTTCTTTTGATGTTTATGTATCAATATTTGCGTACCTATATATATGTACATAAGTATCGACACTTCCGCACCGATACTTTTGTACCGATGCTAACGTATCAATAATATTTTCGTACCTATGTGTACGTATGTACCGGCACTTCCATACCGATACTTCCGTACCTATGTGCATGTATGTACCTACACATATGTACCGACACTTATGCAATTCCTATATATAGACAATAAGGAGTTGTTATACTTTTTTTTTGTGATATATATATATATATATATATATATATATATTAAGGGTTATTATTTAATTTTTTTAACCTATTGTTTTTGTATTTGATTTTTTCATCTTCGACTTCTTAAGGTGACTGACCTAAAAATTACTATAGACTTAATTTGTTTGTCAGCAAGTATAAATTAGTATAATTTACCATAGTTGGATTTATCTTATTGACGAATGGTTTATTAACGGAATATATTTAAGCCTTAATTATAGAATAGGTTGACAATTTAAATGGCAAAGTTTGTAAATATGGTAGGTAATAGAGGTATCTTATAATATGATGTGGCGATGAATATTAAATTAGGGACTAAAATAAGATTTTGAAACCTTATAATCTAAAAATTATCTTATATAGGTCCTAAAATCTAAATACCCCTTTTTTTTATATAAAATAAGAATTTCAAGATCTATCTCTGAATAACAATTTTTTTTTTCAATTACAGTGTCCCTCGTCAATGAGAGAGAGAGAGAGAGAGAGAGAGTGTGACCGTGTCAAACATCAAGGCCGACTTTTCTCTATAGGACAGCATTGACCGACTTTTCCCTAGGATATTTGACGGGCTTACTGCAACTTTAAGCGAGGTGCTTTAACCCCTCCCATATTATATAACTCCTTGGTGTTTAAGCTATAGTGCCCTCTCTCTCTCTCTCTCTCTCTCAGAGCAATGGAAATCAGTGGAACCAGGTCCTTCACCTTAAGTTTAGCCTTTCTTCTTCTTTGCTTTTGCAGTGAAACTTGTAACGCTGACAACAGTAGTGCCAAGTCCTGCACTTCATCCTGCGGCCATATCCACAACATAAGCCATCCTTTTCGACTGAACGATGATCCAAAGTACTGTGGCGACGTAAGGTTTACTCTGTCCTGTGAGAGCAACATTACAGTACTAGACCTACCTTCTTCCGGAAAATACTATGTCCAGGCAATCAACTACATTAACAAAACAATCCGACTTCTAGATCCTGGGCTTGACAACAACAATTGCTCTTCCATGTCTCAAAATATTCCGCCCATCGAGGACATCGATTCTCTATATTGGCCCACCTATGACATCAATTCTCTATCTATATATTACTTGAAGTGTTCGAATCCATCGAATTCTTCTCTGTACGTGGACACTGCTCCATGCTTGAATAATACTTCTTCTTCTTCTTCTTCTTCGAGTCAACCAAAAACGTATAGCTATGTCATGGTCGATGACTATGTCGGGGGCAGGTTGGAAGCATGGGATTTGGATGAGGGTTGCAGTGTAGAGTGGATGAGTTTGGCTGCCGGCCACGTTGAGGACTACAGCAACTTCTCTTATAAAGACATACACAATGCCCTCATGTATGGCTTTGAGCTTTATCCTTAATACACAATGCTCAGGATGGACCGCGTCTGATGTGTCTACATGTTTTCCTCACACCATTTCAGGTGCGTCAATTCTCGACTAAATTAATAACTTTTGTAGTCGGAAATATAATTGCCTTGTCAAACTAGGAACATATTACAAACATTCAAGCAAGAATAAAACCCTGGTTAATTGTTCGGGTTCACGCACTGACTAAATTAGACTAGGTATATCCTAATTCTGCAATCCATTATATGAGATTTAAAGGTATCAACATGTCACTTGTGGTATTCCACTAAACTAGTAGGTAGGTGGTCTCATGTTTGACTCGCATAAATGACGAGTTTGTCATTATTGATGACCCATTGTGTGATTTAACTTAAACTAGAAAATGCGCCCGCACTTCGCTGCCGGGGATATTATTCACAACAGGAATGAATAATTTCCACAAAAAGTGGGCAAAATGGTGGTAGGAACAGAATCACATTCTCAAATGTAGCGACTCAGATAACATATATTTGAGCTAAGTGAATCCAACAAAATCACCAATCCACGTATGCATCTTCAAATAATTTAAATAAGTGATAAGTGATATGGGCTGGTAAGATCAGCAGCTTGGTTTTCATTTTGATTTAATTCAGCCGACATCAAGAGCCATATACAATTTAACAGGATGAAGACATATACAGTCGCCTTCTTAGTAGAGCTTATATATAATAGGGAATTGTTATTGGCACTCCAAAATTCTCATTTTGCACTCCAAACTTTCCATAATTAGAAAGAAAAATACACTTGTCGCGAGTGTAGAATAAGATTATTAGAGTGCTAATAACAGTTTCCTATATAATATCTTATAAATAAAAGAATCACAAATGATACTATAGTTGTTAAAAAACCCATTACTCAAAACTCCAATTCCCTCAGAACCCATTACTGAAAGCTCCAATTCCATCAAAACCGAGATGGTAAAAGTACATACTGGTTAGTTTCCACAAAAAAAAAAAGTACAAACTGGTTACAAAAATATGTTGTCCCATCCAATTGACGATAAGCAAAACAAATTACGAAAAGCAAAGTAATCAAACAGCCAAAAAATTAGAATGAAATCCTAAAACATTCTCATATTTTATAAAGTCAGCATCTACCTCATGTTCAGCTAACCCATTAAGAAAAACGATAAAGGTCATTGGGAATGAAAAGTCGTTTATTTATAATTGATGAGACCTTATAAATCTGATTTGGCAAACGGCTCCTCAGCTCTTCATGGTTGTAAATCTCTCCATTCACCTTAATGATTTTCAAACAAACATCATATCAGTAATTGTAAATTGAAAATTTTATCTCTTTTTTCAAATATTCAATAAATTAAACCACACAAAATTAAAAAAATATATGACACGACCTTGTAAGCAACAGAAGAGATGAAGCGGTGAGTGAGACAAAAGTGGTAAGCGAGAGAAGCGGTGAGAGTGCATCCAGGAAGAATGTAAACAGAAGGCAAAAATTGAAGGCAAAACTGAATTCCTCTTGACTACCTATTTAGTGAGTTCTTGGCCCTATTTAGAGAGTTACTGGAATAGAGTTACTGGAATGAAATGAAGCCAACTCTACAACAAAGAAACAAACGAAAAAGTCAAAATCCAGAAATCCAAGTTTAACTCAATCAAATATAATAACCAATGAAAGTTGCAAACTGCAAATTCTCGCAATGTAGACAAAGAAACTTGTTTCTCAAAGACATCATTGGTCTCTCTTTGTGAATACAACATTTGGAAAACCAAACAATAATTAATAAAATAGAAAATCGAAGTACCTGGCAAGTTTTTCTTTTTATACAACCCATCATCTCCACTTGCTTTAAGTAAGGAGGAAGTGTGTGAACCACCTTTCATCACCCTTTATTCAAAACATCACAACACCTGCACTTATATAAAGGAAAAAAGAAATGAACCAAAATAAAATTATACTACAATCCAATTATA